CACTTGTCGGGTGGATTGTGGCCTGGGGATCTGCAGAACAGTCTGCTTCCGAGCGTCTGTTAACCAGCGCTGCCCTCCTTTTAGCAGGTACCCCAGATATGTTACTTCTGGCTTACAGATTTGAGCTTTCTTTGCCGAGGCTCGGTAGCCTAGATCTCCCAGAGCTTGTAAGAGACTTTTGGTCCCTTGAATACAAGCTTCTTGGGTCTCAGCAGCAATCAGGAGGTCATCAACATACTGTAGTAAAGTTATTTCAGGGTGTTTACATCGGTACTCACCCAGGTCTTCATGGAGGGCCTCATCGAACAGGGTAGGAGAGTTTTTGAATCCCTGCGGCAGCCTGGTCCATGTCAGTTGGCCACTTATGCCCCTTCCAGGGTCATTCCACTTGAAGGCGAAGAGCTTTTGGCTCTGAGGGGCTAAAGGCAAACTGAAGAAAGCGTCTTTCAAATCTAAAACAGTGTCCTGATTTACGAAAGACATTACAACAGCTGCCTGACTTCCTGGAGCCTCTGGGTCTATGGGGGTGTACTGTCTAAAAGCTTCCATTAATCTTTCTAAGTAGGTAGCTGGGCTCTCTGTCTTTCCCTGCAGAACAGAGTATACTTTAAGCCAAATTAGTGGGCTTGCGAGCAGCTGCCCGGAGACCCGCCATTAGAGTCTGGCGATAAAGGCGTAGCCGTCCCCTACCTTCTGCCATGTTGTAGTCCCACGCCGGCCTGGTCAGAGGAAAAGTCGCATTTATGAGGTCGGGGTTGGCAGTCGGTTGACCGTCGTCCCCCGGGACCAGCTTTCTAGCTTCTACCTGTATTCTCTCTCGCTCCTCCGTTGTGAACAAGATTCGGAGGAGCTGCTGACAATCATCCCAAGTGGGCTGGTGGGTGAACATGACACTATCCAGTAAAGCCATTAAATCTTTGGGGTTGTCTGAAAACCGAGCACTCTGGGTCTTCCAGTTATACAGATCACTGGTAGAGAATGGCCAGTACTGGAGCCTGGGGATTCCCATGTCATCTGGGGGTCCTATTTCCCGAAGGGGTAGAGCCACTGTGGAGTCAGGCGGCTGAGGGGGGCTAGCCCGCAAAGTGCGCCCTCGTGTCAGCCCCGCCGGCCCTTCAGAGTTACTTTCACTCTCAACGGGTCCGTGTGTGCCGGCCGCCTCCCCTCCGCCTGCTCCCTCCCGCGGCTCAGCCTGGGGGGCAGGGGCCTGTGGCCCGGAGGGGTACGGAGGGGGTTCTGTGAACAGTGGGTCCCCGCTATCAGGTAAAACAGGATGGGGGGTGGACAATCAGCTGCTTGGATTTTAGCGGCCGAGCAACCAGTGCCTTACAAGGTTCAGGGGCTAATTGGAAAGGTGACAGCCAAGGAGGCGGGTTCTCAAGTAGGTCCAGCCATATGAGGATATATGGGATTTGATCCAAGTGGCCCGCACACCCAGGTAGGAAAATGTTGGACTTTAGTGATGACAGCAAGTCGGAACTCCCTTCGGGTGGCCACCCCACATCAAAGGCAGGCCATTCGGAGTGGCACAGAGTAATTAGCTTTCCCTTCCTGATCTCTATACTAAGATCATGGCCCCTCGCTCTTACTTCCTTGAAATTACTTGTAAGGAGAGATAGAGGAGTGCTCTGGGTATTACCCATCCTGTAATAATTTGTAGTCTCTTCCTGTAAAGGAAGGTGGGTTAGAATCCCTGTAAAGGAAATCTGACTGATATCTAGTTGCAAGCACGCTCCGACAGCCCGGGTCAGAAACAGCTGCTGCCCAGATCGCAAACGCGCTCCGGCGGCCCAGATCGCGAGCTCGCCCCGGCAGCCCGGGTCAGAGACAGCCGCTGCCCAGATCGCAAATGCACTCCGGCGGCCCAGATCGTGAGCGCGCCGCGGCAGCAGATCGCAAGCGTGCACCGGTAGCCCGGGTCAGAGTTAGCCGCTGGGATCGTGACCGCGCTCCGGCAGCCCAGATCGCAAGCACGCACCGGTAGCCCGGGTCAGAGTTAGCTGCTCGGATCGCGACCGCGCTCCAGCAGCCCAGATTGCAAGCGCGCACTGGTAGCCCGGGTCAGAGTTAGCTGCTCGGATCGCGACCGCGCTCCGGCAGCCCAGATCACAAGCACGCACCGGTAGCCCGGGTCAGAGTTAGCTGCTCGGATGGCGATGGCGCTCCAGCAGCCCAGATCGCAATTTAGATCAGACGAGAGCCAGGGGACGTCTCCCACCGGTCTCCGCTGGCTGTCCTATAGCGCGTCCGCCAGGACGGCGCCAGCTCTAGTTTCAGACCTCGTGAGTCACAGATTCAGATTCAGAACAGATACAGACAGACAAACGGAGACGAGCCGGCTCACCTATCAGTAGATCGATCCTAGTAGATCCATTGACCAGGGGTCTGGTGGGCTTGGGGAATCCCGGACGAGCCCCCAGATGTTATACCCAGACTGTTTGTTCCCCAAAGAAGACCACCAGAGTCCAGAGTCAAAGCCAAGCGGCAAGGATCTTTACTACAAGTTCGAACTTGGTCCCTCCATTCTACAGCATACAAGAGGGCCTTGAACAATGCGAGTGCTTGCTTTTTATAGCCCAATGTAAACAGGATATGTAAAGTTACAGGGAACAAGGTAGTTCTCTCGGTTACTGCATTACAATTGGTTAACATTATACATTTAGCATTCCTTGTCGGAGATCTCCCAGGTGATGTTTTTCTGAAGTTTGAAAGAAATATGGAGGAATGTGTGCTGGGCTCACGAAGTTGGGAGATATATGAGGGATGTGCCTCATTCCTTTCACATCTCCTGACCCAAAGTGGGAGAAATGAGATTTTCTCCCATCCAGCTTTGACATCATTTCCTGTGTAGCTTGGGAAAGATGCTTCACCTCTCTGGTCCACAATTTTCTTCAGTGTAATGAAGGGATTGTAGCATATACTTTGTCTTCTCATAGAAACAGGATGTGTTACACATGTTTAGTACATGACTTCCATACAGTATGAGCTCAAGAAAGCCTCACTAATTAAAGAGAAGAATGATTGAACCAGTTAATAGTCCCTTCCTATTTTTCAAAGCATTTGACATACAAGGATAAGGTTTATGCTTACTAATTATCCTTATTAATAAAACTAAACTCAGCATTACTCTTCACACCAGAGGGATTTTACCATTAAAATATCCTTTTAAATTTGAGAGAGAACAGTGAAAACCCAATTAGAAAAATGCTGTCACTCCTGAGACTTCAGCTCCCATTTGATGACTCTTACACTGCATAACCAGGCCCTACTTCTGCAATGAGTGAACTGTAAATCCATACTTCTGGTGACTTACTTGAAAGTCCATCCAGTTGTCACACAAATACCTCCCATTTACAATCCCAACCCAAGCTCAATTCATTTTCCCCAAACCTGTTTCTTTTCAATTTACCAATCCTAGGTACTAAGATCACAGTTGACTTAATTTTTCAGATAAGGATGCTTAAAATCACACTGGTAACCTCTAATCAGTCATCAAATCCTGATAAATCTGCCTCATCAGTGTATTTGCTTTCATTCAACAGATATTTATTGTGTACCTGTTATGTTTCAGGCACAGTGTAAAGAACTGGATATACAATGGTAAACAAGAAAGCGAGATTCCCTGCCCTCATGGAGCTTACATTCTAGTAGGGCAGTCAGACCCACCCACACACACACATACATAAAGCCAAAAAGCAAAATAAGTTTTAAGAGTTGTCATTGATACAAAAAAAAAAAAAACGTGACCTGTTTTCCATGGAAAAGGAAACGTGTTTTGTTTGTATGAGGAACTGAAAGATGACCAGTCTGGTTAGAGCATCGTGCACTGAAAGGAGGATGGAGTGGAATGACACTGGAGAGGTTCACAGGGCCCTGTTCATGTAAAGCAATAAAGTAAAGGCATCAGAATTCATTTTAAGTCTTTGGGAAGCCAGTGAAGAGGTTTAAGTTATGAAGTTGTGATCTGGGTTGTGTGTTAAAAGTATCCCTTTGGCTTTTTTTGTGAAGAAGAGGTTGGGAGGCAGAGGATCAGCCAAGAGGTGGTGTCAGTCTTCCGGGTCAGAGATGACTGTGGCCCAGACCAGGCTGATGGCACCACAGGAGCAGAGAAGTCTTTCCTCTTCTCCATCTGCAAATTACTGGATTATTTCAGGCCCTTATTCTACCTCATTTTGACATCTGCAAAAGCCCTCCTGGGGCACACCTCTGGGTTTACATGCTCCTAATCTGTTCTCCACACTGCCTGTCAAATAAATTTTGCCCCTCTTCTGCTCAGAGACTCCAACGGCCCAACCCACATTCACCTCTGTTGTCTTATAAAGCTTCTCAAAAAGAGGTGAAGGATATGTCACAATGACCCAGGAGTAGTTTCAAGTACTCCTGACCCGGTTCTGCCTGACATACAGAGCCATGATCTCTATACTTTTAACCAATTCTCCAAGAGGTGTAAAGAAACTACTCTTTTGTCTTCCCTGTCACCCCCAGAAACCCAGGCCTAAAAGAGATAACTTAGCTAAACCCAAGATCGGTCCAGAATTGCCACAGGTGGCCTAATCTCCATTCACACTCTACATCTCACCATCTCCTTCCTGTTATACCTTTTATGTTCTTCCTTCAACTTGGAAGGAGATAAAATATCTTCTTGCATTGTCTAGGAGGGCGAATAGGTAAATAGATGACCATAAGACAACAAGGTGGATACTTTGGTATAGCGTTGAATTATCAAAAGATGTCAGGAAAGGTAGTAAGATTCATTCTGAATCCTCAAGTAACTGGAGCAAGGTTTATAAAATAAGATTTTGATGAATTAGTGAATGAATCAGTGAATGAATGATGAATAGAAACAATACCCATTACTTGAGGAAAAGAACAGAAGCATGTTCCTTCTTTTAGCTGCATAGATGGTATAAAACAGTGATTACTTTAGAAATAAGGAAGGACCGTTTAAATTAAGACTTCTTTTAAGGCAATGTGCTCCAAATGAAAAAGGACTCCACTAGTTGGGAAAGACATTTTATTTCCAAGTTTCTAAGAGTGTTCTACAAACAATAGAGGCTTAAAGAAAAAATAAAAGATAAAAAGAAAAAAAAGAAAAACAAGTATTCTTAACTACTGAAAAGTAAACAGCCTTTTTAAAAAAGACTTCAACATAAAAATGCGAAAATGTAGTTGTCATCTCTAATCCAAATACATTCCTACAGAAAAGGATCATCCATGGTGACAGGGTTACTTACAGCTGTATACTTATTTAAATGCTATTCATATTCCTTTTGAGTTATTTCTTCATTGCAAATTCAATTGGAGATCTGTGCAAATCTAGCAAAATATTCTTTGGATTACAAAAACTATATAAAAAATGAACACAACCTGCAATTATGGAAGTATTGAGAATGCGTAATTCTTCACTGAGATGAAAGATTCTGAAGTGACATTGTCCACAGAATGTATTCCATTGAAGTGTTCAGCCCAATTTGATTTCAACGCAAAGTAAAATGGAAGTGAGCACTTCATAAAAAACATTTCTTTGTATGCATGTTGACTAAATCATAAAAAATAGTATGTAACATGATATCAAGAAATGTTTGAAACAAACTTTCACAATAAAGTCAGAAAAAAACTGTAAAAAAATTGTCTGCAATCCAAGAAAAAGCACGTGCCCTGTGTGTAGGGGGAAAGAGGGAAAGCACTTGCAGTGTGACTTTGTGTGGTCTTTCCCCAAGTATTGCTACGTTTCGACCTTTGGCCCAACTGAACAGGTGAAATGCCCTTCACATAAGTTTCAATCCCCAGTAAACCAGCTGGGATGCAGGGGACTGTAGACACACTCCCAGACCAAATGGCATTGACCCTCAGAATCCAAAATGGTCCCTGCCCTCATTCTGAGCTTATGGCCCCAAGCATATTCTAAACAAAGGTTTTTGAAATGAATTGCCCTTTCTCATTAAAACGTAAAATGCCACATCATTTTACAGTTAGTTAAAATTATAGGAGGAAAAAGAAGCAGTTTCAACTGTCGGAGTCTTACAATAGCCTGGTAAGTTCAACATAAGAAAAAATAGAATAACATTAGAGTCTGGGGCAAATTTGTATTTTTGACTCTAGTCCCCCAGTCCCCCAATGCTCAGTGCGGGGCACAGAATGTATACCTGGAACATTAGAGTTCTGATAGCTCCATTCCCTCATGGATTCATCTCTCATAACCATCAAATTACTGATATACAAGATAAATGCATATTATATAACACATATTGCAAAGTCATAGACTGACCTAGTTCTTCCACATCCTTCTTTTTTAGAAGATGTGTGTGAAGAGAAGCCGGGAGGTTAACACCAAGAATGTACAAAAAAGCTTTACATGATGTTACAGAATCTTGTCTGAAAAAACATTTGTAAAACATATTTGATTTTAAATAAACAATAAAAGCATCAGACAGACTACAACAGATCATAAATAGGGTTATTAAAAGATCACAATTAAATTAGAAATATAAATGGATCATTAGAAATACTTAACGTTTTTTTCAATGTTAAGAATCAAACCCAGAATTAAAAAAGAATCTTTTTTTTTTATTTCAAAGGTTGCTTCTTATATTGAAGCTCATATTAAAGCAACAGTACAATGTTCATAAAATATAAGTGTGATGCCGTAACATTTTCTTACATGTCAGAATACTGATATTTGTATGTATACTAAAATAAGAACTTTAAAATTGTACAAATAGATACATTAAAAATGACATAGAAATAGGGCGTCTCTCACTGAAACAAGACAGTTATATCTGGCACATATTAGTTTAAGATGAAAGTAGAAGCAAAAAGATTTACAAGAATCAGCAGTAACAAGATTGATGCTCAAGAGACATAATTGTACATTGTATTGTACATACATTGTATGGGTTTAAGCTGGCTGAATATTATATATTTCAAGTTTAAAAATGCACTACATATAGAGTGTCCAGAGTTTAAGGCGAAATTACAGCTCAGAACTGTTGTCCTTTCTAATTTTGTGGAAGCTTCTTTGACAACTTAAAAAAGAAGAAAGACTTGGATGTTCATAACACATAAACAATTTCCCTTCATTGTCAGTTCAGCATTAGACTTCTCCTTCACTTAAATATTTTGTATGCCAAGTGTTTTTTTTTTCCTAGCGAAGTTGATAAACAACTTCAATATTTGCCTTTTTGTGAGAAAAGGTATTTCACAGTATTTACCACTTTGATGTCCTCGCAGTTTTATTAAATGTATCCTCTCTGTAAAACTTTGCCTGTTTTAAATGAGCCTTTCCTTGATTTAAAAAAATACCTGTTTACACATCTTCTAGATTCTTGAGAACGCCAGACACAGTTCTTAAGGCCAAATTTGTATCGTTATTGTTAAGAATCGTCATCAAAAGTGTCTTTGGAACCATACAAGTCTGCTAGTTTCTTAAAACGAGGTCCCCAGTTCTGTAGATAATCATAGTCCAAGTCTGAATCTGTGGTGGCTGACTCTAGGGAGCTCAGGGACCCGGCCACTGAGCCCCTGCCTTCATAACCGTAGATTTGAATGGAGTCATAAGGAGGAGCTGTGGGGTCATTGTCTGCCTCCTGTATTCTTGTGTTGATGAAGTCATCGACATCCACGCTGTTGGGCGCTGGCCGGAGCCCAGGTCTAGGCATGTACTGATACTCAGGTTTGATGTCTTTGCGGGGGATAAATCCATTGATACCATCGGGATTCTGGAGGGTGGCAATATCAAAGGCTTCTGTGTCTTCTTCCCCACCTCCTTCATCATCATAAGTAATGATGTTCTCACGGACATCTTCTTCCTCAAAGACAATGAGTGGTTCTTTCTTTTGCCTTCTCAGGGTCACGAACAATACTACAATGACTGGAGGGAAAGAAAAAGAAAGTAAGCATTCGTTAAGTTCAGTATTCCTGGGTTCTTCTACCAGAGGAACTCTGATTACCATAAACCATGAGGTACAAATGCTCACAACTGGAAATGGTATAGGAAATGAGAGCTTTGCCTGGAATTCCCAGGGATGTGTAAAACTGACCCCTGCCTGGCTCTTCCTCTACAAATGCTGCCGTGAAAACATTACGTCCAACAACTTGGAAGGTTGGGACAATTTTGAACTTTTAACAAATGAATCCCGATACCATGTAGAAGTCATCTTCCTAAGAACTAGGCTGATTCTAAACATGCTGGTCTGTAGTCTCTTAGAAGTGGCTAATGCCAATTTCTCTTTGCAAAGGAAGGTAGCTGTTTTTCCAAGGTTTAAAAATGAGGACATGCAGAGCCCTCAGGGCCTACCATCTTATAGGGGGTGATGGCTAGCTCCTGCCAATGTCTGAGAAAGAGCATTGGTCCTATACTAACTTAATGGGAAATCTTATCATAAGTCTGGCTGGATTCTCTGTAGCCACCACATAGAGGAAAGGAAGTTCATAAAGACCCCCAGAAGACAAAATCTTCTGTTTATTTTAACATAGGAAAATAGCATCAGCTGGAACCCAGATAAAGCAATCTCATGTCTTCTCTGGGAGAGGAGGTTCCTTTAAGCTTGGGCAACCTAGGAAGGGTGATCAGAGTCATTATAAGGAAAGTTCAGGAACAGTTTAATTCTTCATTGATTCCCTCTGTTCCCCAAGAGACTTCTACAGTGTTCCATTAGAAGGCTCTCCCACACACTCAGCAAGGCTGAAGAAAATATTTGTGGCTGAATTTGGCACTCCAACTGAGCACCCCTCTGGCTCCACCATTGCTCTGAGAAGCAGGGATGGGAGATTGTATTTGCCCTGGTCTTCGTATGGCTCCCAAAGCTCTGTGTCTTGTTCTTGTGGGCACTTTCACGAGCACAGACCATTCCTTTTCACTTTCTCTGTTTGGCAGACTCTTTTTTCTTTCATCATGGATACATTTCCTGGGCTCCCATCCTGACACCAGACAGGACTAGTGGCACCTTTTTCATGCACCAGCCTGGCCCTGTTCTTACCCTCATTATAATATTTATCACGTGGTTTACACATCTGTCTCGACTTCTATTAACTTTTTAGGGCTTTTGTATTTTACTTCCTCTGTTTGAAATATTCATCTATCCAAGCCTCTGTCCCCAGCTGGACAACTCTCAGCAGCCAACCTATATGTCACATCCCCCAGGAGGATTTCTTCGACCTTCCCAGGCAATGTTAGGTGCCCTTTTTTTTTTTTTTTTTTTTGAGACGGAGTTTTGCTCTTGTTGCCCAGGCTGGAGTGCAATGGTGCTATCTTGGCTCACCGCAACCTCCACTTCCTGAGTTCAAGTGATTCTCCTGCCTCAGCCTCCCAAGTAGCTGAGATTACAGGCATGCACCAACACACCCAGATAATTTTGTATTTTTAGTAGAGACGGGGTTTCTCCATGTTGGTCAGGCTGGTCTTGAACTCCTGACCTCAGGTGATTGGCCCACCTCCACCTCCCAAAGTGCTGGGATTACAGGCATGAGCTACCGAGCCCGGCCCATGTCAGGTGCTTTCTACTCTGTGCCCCAACCATCTTGTGTTCATGTCCCTATTATAGCACCCACCATGTCCCTCAGTTTTTCTCTTCATGCATACTTTCCTTGATATTCTGTGAACCTGTGGAGCACACAGATCTCATAGACTTCTTCTCTTTATCCCTCAGAACCTAACATAGGGCCTGTTGCCCAGAGAATACCCAGTAACTATTTGCTGAACTGAGCTCACTGGCTCTTTCCTATGGAGTAAAGAGTTTATCTCTTCATGCATACCTTCCTTGACATACTGTGAACCTTTTGAGGACAGAGATCACACAGGCTTCTTCTTTTAATCTCTCAGGACCTAACATAGGGCCTGTGGCCCAGATAATACCCAGTAACTATTTGCTGAACTGAATGTACTGGCTCTTCCCTATGGAGTAAAGTTCCATGAATTCATTCGAGGTAGGACCAAGCACCGTGGGAAAAGTGTAGGTTTGGTGTCAGACATGCATAGGTTTGAATCCTGATTTGGTCAGTCACTAGTTCTGAGACTTTGGGACAAAATGATCTTCCTGAGGCCCAGAAATGGTAAATGTTATGAGGACCAGCACATGGCTTTTCTACAGAATAAGCCACAGATGAGACAGAATGCAGAAGAGCGGCACCTACGCAGGGGCAGGTGCAGGAAAAGCCTCCAAGGGGTATCCATGAGCTGAGGTGTTAGAATAGATGTTATAAATGATAATTAGTGGAGGGGTTAGAGTCCTGCTTCTTCCTTCTTCCAGCTCCCGAGTCCTTCCTATGCTGTCTTTTGCTCCTCCTTATGCACCTAATGTCCCTAAGCCTTCTCCTTTATTTGTGAGACAAAACCATTGCTAATACACCAGGTTTCTGCCCATATTCCTCTTATGCCAAACCTTCTCTGATGTCCCTGAAGCCCCCTAGTGGCTCCTGCTATACAGCCCTGTGATGGCCCGGCAAAATGCTCCTGACCTTCCCTGTTCTCCGCAGGAACTCAATTGTCTGCTCCCCCCAATATTCCGTCAAATGCACGAGGCAGACAACCCCCATCTCGTCCTGGCAACCACCACTCCGCCCCACTACTGCACTTCTTGTCTTAAATCGTGTCGACAGTCATAACAGGGTCCTGGTTACCAGCCTGTATTTGAGAAGTGTGTGTTTCAAGGAGGGGCATCCGGTTGCCAGGCCCTTCCTGCAGGGGACCAGGAAGCGCCCTTACCCAGGAGAATGACGATGCAGGCGAGGATAGCGATCAGCGCGCCTGTGCTCAGGCCGGCGTTCAGAATGTAGGCCTCCGCGTTGCAGGAGAGCAGTGCCCCATTCACGTCGCACCCGCAGACTTTGATGGTGAGGGTATTGGTGCTACTCATGGGCGGGATGCCGCCATCGCTGATCACTATGGGCAGGAGGTACAAGTCCTGCTTCTGCCGACTGAACCCTCCACGCCGGGCGTACACGCCTGCTGTGTTATCTGCAGAAAGAGGGGAGACAGGACGTGCGCCCGGTCAAGACCATTGGAATCACAGTGGCTCTCCGTTCGGCAGATTTGAGGGCACTCTCTTATCATAAAGGTTAACCACCAGAATTGTTCTTACTTGTTCTTTCATTTAAGTATCTGCAGAAGCCACCGCCATTTGGCACGATACGATCACAAAACAAGCTATCTGCATTTTGGAATAAATTTCAGGAACAGGCTCTTTTGGATTTGGTAGGGAATTCCCACTGAAGAACGGGCAAGAGCCAAGCAGAAAATGGTGTGGCAGACTTGCCAGTGAAGGGATTTCCCCCAACACCCTCAGCCACCCTGTTAAACATGTCATTCCTCCTGCTTAGAATGATTTGAAGTTTGTTGCTCACATGACTCAGCGCACTTCTGCCTGCATGGTGGATGATCACACATTATTTCCCTAACCTAGACTTCACTTTGCCTTCCAGGCTCACACCCTACGTTTTCCCACAGAAAATGGTGTGGCAGGCTTGCCTTTGAAGGGAACTTCCTTCGGTGGCAAGCCTGCCTCACCATTTTCTGTATTGTTCCTTCTTGAAATGCCACAAGAAAGCATGAGCTTCAGCAATCTATTCTATGTTAGCACAGGAAATATTAATAATTAATTATTCAAGTGTGTGTGAGGAAACAAATGTTTTTTTCTCATGTGCAAACTTCCTACTTTATGACAAGCATTTAGCCAATTTTTGTTTGCATATATTTTTTTAAAAGAAATTCCAAGTCCACCTTCAACCTTACGCAAACTAGGAATCCACTCATTAGTCATGAAAATATACATGCTTTAAAGAGAGGAACTACTTTATAACCCTTGCAGGAGATTGATGGTTTCTTTAAAACCCCAACACCATCAACCACCCAATTAAACATGTGACTCCTCCTGCTTAGAGTGATTTGAAGTTTGTGGCTCACATAACACAGCACACCTCTGCCTGCATGATGGACTATCAAATGTTGTTTCCCTAACCTAGACTTTACCTTGCTTGCCAGGCTCACCTCCTATGTTTTTCCGCATGGACCAGTTGAGCCTGACATCAAGAATTCAATTCTGTCCCCCAACAATGTCACACTCTTCTGTGCGCCTGGTCTTTTTATCCACTGCTCTCTTGCCCAAAATAACTGTTCCTTTTATCATAACAGTTGTACTTCTCAGGCCTCAAAATAGAATTCAAAAGTCATCTCTTCAGGGAGGGCATCCAAGACCTCTCCCATCACCTCTCGTGTGACCCACCACACTGTATATTCTTACAGAAATACATAACCTACTCCTCTGTCATGATTTGTTGACATAACTACTTTGACCTCTGTGAGACTTCGAACTTCTTGAGAATAGGGGATTTTTATCTGATTCATCTCAGTCTCTGCAGGGCCAGAAACACAGCAGACATTCAATAAATATTTGTTGAACAAATGGCATAACTGTGTTCTGGGAAGGATTTAACCAAAATTCCAGATGCTGGCTTTTCTGTATTTCCCAATCTTTCATAGCCTTTGCCCCTAAAATACTTCCCCATCATGTTTTCTCTACCAGTTGCAACTATTTTTCTAAGATGTATTTTTCTAGTGGGAAACCATTGGTATTATAAAATAGTAGAAAATTTTAATATGTTCCATCAAATTACACATACATGCATACATACACACGCATACAATGAACTTCTGGTATGGTCTGCCTCTGTTTGGGTTAAGAATCAGAGTTTATAGCAACATGAATGTTATGACTAGCATCATGGCCCAATGGCTGGTAGGCTTTAAATAGGTTGACAGGATTTTGAATTAGCTCCTGTAGTAGGGAAAAAAATCTCAGACTTTCAAAATTATTTAATATATTTTAGGTTAAAGAAAATGTATAATCTTCCCTTGGTATTTGCAGGGGATTGGTTCTAGGACCCTCCCCTGAATACCAAAATCCAGGGATGCTCAAATCCCTTATATACAATGGCATAGTATTTGCATATAACCTACAGACATTCTCCTATATGTGTTAAATGATCTCTAGATTACTTATAATACCTAATACCATGTAAAAGCCATGTGAATAGTTATGATACTGTAGTTTCAAATTTTGTATTATTTTTCATTGCTGTATTACAATTTTTTGTTGTTTATATTTCTTTTTGTCAGCCATGGTGCAGTGCAGTGGTGCAATTACAGCTCACTGTAACCTTGAACTCCTGGGCTCAAGCAATCCTGGCATCAGTCTCCTAAGTAGATGGGACTATAGAAAACCCTTTGCTAGAAACCAAGTTTTCACCCTGTATTTGACTACATATTAGCTTTCAACTCCCTATCCATCTCTGAGTGGGTCCTCTTGCATTGGACACATGTGTTACCGAGGCTTATGGATAATCCAAGAAAAAAAGAGATTCAGTGAGGACATATTTCCAGGAAAGTGTCAGATTGGCTCCAGGTTAATAAGATGAAACAGAAAAAGACAAATATTCCATCAATTTTAAAATTTCCATAGAGATTTCTTAGATCTTTTTCTTATATAAAGATTCTAAGAAGCAAAAAACTCAATCTTTGGGGTCAAACAGACTTGGGTTTGAATCTTGAATCTTGTACATATTAATTGCCTGACTTTAAACATATTATCTAGGTGTCTTGATTTTCCATATTCTCATCTATGAAACTAATAATTTTAGGTTAAATTTGATTCCATTCACAAAGTTACTTAGTACAGTTGCCAGCCTGTTGGCGACGCTCAGTAAATATTAATTCTTTTCTGGAAGTTCTTCTCTTTGAGCAGTAGACTAATGAGGAAGGGAAACTTACTGACAAAGAGAGGAAAGTGAATTCTTGGAAATGTCATTGTAGCTCTGAATGTAATTGCCTATGCAGAAGGACTCTTCATTCAAAGGTAAGAAAATATTTCATATTCTTCAGTCCTGGGCAATATATTTCCCATGACAAGAAAATGTTTTTCAAGCATCTTGGTTTTTGATCTTGACACCAGTCTTTTCATCCCTGGCCACAGATATGTAACCAGTTGCATGTTTTCCCCCACTTAGGCCAAAACTTGCAAATAGGGCCATTAATTATCAGAATATGTCATGCACAAAGTGTAGTGTTTCTATTAATGTAAAAACAAATTCAGGCTTCTAAGTTTTAGTCCATCCTGAACTCCTAATTGCATGCTGCTTTTACTTGTACACTTTTTCGTTCCACTAATACAATATAAAAGTTCCTGATAATGATGATCTCCACAGTACCAGTTGGGGGAATACCAGTATAGGGGTTATGATGATGATGTAGCCCAATGGAGAAATAAATAAGACTGGCAAGCAAGGGGGACATTAAAATGGAGAGAGAAAGAAGCCCTTGATAGATAGACTGCGCTGGGTGACAACCCTACATTAGCAAAAAAAGGAAAAAATTAAAAGCAGATCAAAGTGGGCAATATATGGACCAGCTCTTGCATATTGAAAACTTGAAAACAGGAAGCACCAGAGCAAAGGACCAGGACCCACTGCCCTCACCATGGTGTCACGAGAGAGGCTTATCCCAGGGAGACGGCATCAGTCATGCAGCAGCTTCCCGAAGGCTCTGCAGATGTTCTTCCTTACCAATCCTTTTCCTCTGTGCATCTCTTCTCTGAAGCTAAAAAATCCTCACAGCTTGACCTGATCAGAGACATTCTATCCTATTAAAAAAGGCCACAGGGCACTTCAGTCTGGGGATCCTCTCTGCAGACTGTTGGAAAACTGAGAATGTAGGCCAAGACTTGCTCCCAGGGAGGTATTTTGTTCACTGCTGACCCAAATCTGCCTACTCTACGTTTCCGCCCAAACCTCAGAGAGGAAGTAGATCTATCCACCACATGAAAAGCTCCCACACACTTGAAGACAGGTATTCAGTCACTAGCAGAATAATCATTATTTGATTACTTTGCTCCAGCCTACACCACTTTCCTTAGAAATGTGGCAATAGTTCTGTCAAGATAATGGAAAAAATATTCCTGTGCCCACACATGCCCATGCACACACATACACACACATCTATATGTATAAATATATAAGCACATACATAAAATTTATATATAGTGTGTGACTAAAAAGTCTTAGTAGAGTTATAAGCTTCAATAATTTCAGAAGTATAGATGACATACAATTACAAAGGCACCATTTGAGTATTTAGTTATTTCGAGTTCTTTAGGCTCATTTACATTTGTGAATTTTGAAAAATTAATTTTAAGTTTTGATGTCAGTCAATGTTTACCATCTTCAATCCAAGGGACTGAAATAATGGAAATTTCATAGGATGTTGTAAAAGTCTGTGACGATATGCTCCCGATGTTATTACTGATCAATGATGAACTTACTAGTCTGTGTGTACACCTCTATTTTCTTGCTTTTCTGAATACCCTGTGAGCTCTCTACCTACCTGTCATCACTGCATAGTTTGCACATATCACAGTCCATCAGGATTGAATGTCTGACCTCTTCATCAGACAGTAACCTCCTTGAGGGCCTTGTCTTATATAGTTTTTCACTCATCTTTGAGCATTTAGGCATTTAGTACTGTTGTGTGTATTGACAGAATAAATGGCTGAATGCTATTCTTTCCAATGCATCTCATATCAGTCTGACTTTTCCACACAGTCAGATTTTACTGATTCATTATCTCATGGTCCACTTCTAGTTTCCATCTTCTCCAACTCCTTCTAATGTTGCTTATATTTATATTGTGGATTTTGCTTTTTCTAAATATCTTCATCTTGCTATCTTATTATTGTTATTACTATTATTTAAATTGAAGCAAATGTAACTAAGCAACATTGATTGAACTGCTAATATGGGCAAACGCTGTTGTTTGTTGCTTTTACATACCTTATCCCAAATAATTTTTCAAACTCTGCAAAGAGTGTAATGACCCATATCTTATAGGAAACAAAACTGAGAAACTAAGAGGGAAACAATTTCTCATAAGGACATGGAAAATAACAGAACTAGAATTTGAAGTCCCCT